CGGTGTACAGCTACCAAACAACTGGAATGTGGCACACTTAAACCGATATTACTGCTAAGGTACAAACACAATTTCCTTTTAAATTTGTTATGCTTTCGACTAACCCATGCAGGTATTCCCTTGGACCGGTTTTTTCCGAAGTGGATTTTACGGCAAGGTTTTTAACGAGGCAACAGTAAAATGTGCAAACTTAGTTTTGAAGACCGGCCTGAGGCCGTGATTGCTGACCACCCATACTGGATCGATAGTATTCGAGCCCTCACGAGCTCAATCTTGAATACTGGGAGAGCCATTACGCCCTAAGTCAGGATCCTTAAAAGGAATTTTTTATTTGATGTTAAAAGCCAAGGCTTGAATATTAAAATCCATTGTAAGGGTCAAACGGTCAAACAAACTGTGCCCGTAGCTCATTCTTGCCATGGCAGAAAGCTTTTGTGCCTTCGATCACGTATTCTACATGCAAAGTAATGAAAGAAATTTGCCCTCTATATTTCATCCCTTCACATTTGCACCAGCGATATATTCGTTAAGTTATTTAGAACAAATAAGGGGTTCAAAATCCTAGAGCCCACGGGCCTCCCCGAGTCGAGGACTAATGTCTGATAATAAAATTAGACTGCTAGGGATATCGAATCCCGAAGGCACTGAGTCTATTAGGTAGGGCCCGAACATGAAAGGCTACATCCAACTTAAAACGGCTTGGAGACATCCAAGTCTGTACGTAGAAAGTAAGGTCCTTACACATGATTAAAACCTATGAAAAAAGGCCACCCTCGGCAAAACATCATAGTGTCTGGTTGAAACATTCAAGTATTTTTGAGGACTTCATTTTTATCAAATATTCCGAAGCAAAAGCAACTCAGAATTGTTATCGAAACCAGGCTTCATTCGGGCTCTGGGGGAACGAACACTCTAAATTATGTCCAATTTTATGCTAAGGTATTAATGACATTTTTTCAAACAAAGAGTTGCAAGCGGATGCTGAAAAGTAAAGACAGTATAGCCGAAGGAAATCTTTTCTATATATGCCAAAAGTATTTACAAAGGCACGGTAAAACAGCCTAAAAATAAACAAAAAATGTACAAAAAAAAGAAAACAAAAAATAAACTAAGGCATCTCCGCCTAGTCTTCACCAGAGCCCGATTCACTACCTGAACCCTCGGGCTGGTATATCTCTTCGGCCTCGGCCTCGGCCTCAAGCCTCTTCAACCTCGGCTGATAGACCGAACCCCCGGGCGTGAATCTCCTCGAGGGTCTCCCTCCGCGATAACCACTTTACATATTCGGCCTTTGTTATTAAACGGGCCTCGGTTATCTCCACGTTATTCTTGTATTCGGCCAGCATATCCTGGACCTCGAAGGACTCGTTCGAAGTCGCCTCCAACTTGGACTTCAACACGGTATACTCCCGGCTGAGGGCATCCCGTTCCAAGACGGCTGAGCCCAGTTGTGCTCGAAGCTCATCATTCAGCCGAGACCACTTGTCAGCTTTATCATTCATCAACCTGGGCTAGTCCTTGGCCGATGCCAACACCTCTTTAGTAGCCTCCTTTTCCGAGGCCAGAAGATCTATCTTGCTCCTCAACGCCTCGGCCCAGGCTTTGAGCTCGTTCATCTCGGCCCGAAGCTGGTCGATCGGGTCTATCTTTTCTTAGACCTCCGAGGTTACGGTGTTAGCAGTTGCGCTTAACCTCTCGTTATTAATCTCAAATACCCTTACCTTTTCGACCAGAACGCCATGCTCTCGTTTCACCGACGAGGCCTCCTTTTGAGCTTTTTCCAGCTCAACTTGGAGGATGGGGAGGTCCTTGAGGGCCTCGTCTCTTTGCTCGGTAAGAGCTTTGTACATGTCCTTCTGCCTAACCCGTTCCTTGAGCTCGAACTCGAGCTGGCTCACCTCCATCCGAGACCAATGAAAGCTCTCATGATGAAGCACCGAGGCTTGAGAAACAAAGTTGATGAGATCATAAGAATACGCTAAGGTTAAATGAACCCTTCAAGGGATACAAAGAGAGAAAATCATACCCTGTTCGGGGCCTATTGTGCCTCGTTGAAAAGGCTCGCTGCATCCACCTCGTTCATCTTCGCCTAATCCTCTTCGGTCACCAAGTAGTGAAGATAGCTAGCAATGCCAACCGGTCCGGACAGCACCCGGGTATCCGTCAGGATCGTAAACATGACCATTCTTCTGCGGTCGGGATCCACGCTCGGGGCGGGGAACTGCTTCACCAGCTTTGGGATAGAGCTCGGCCCGCCTGACTCTTGCAGCACATCTTTTTTCGGGATCTCCAGGTGACCGAACCCGGAGTAGTCCTTCAACGCACCAATGTCCATGCCTTTAAAGAACAAGTTGAGGGTCTCATCTGCAGCCCTTGACATCTCGGTTGGTTCCTCTTTGATGGTCTGAGCCTCGTCAAATAAAGACTCTGTGTGAGACGGTGACTATGAGATGTCAATGACACCGGCGGCTTCTCTCGGAGCGGGAGTAGCTTCTCGATAGGCCGTAGCAACTGGCTTTCCATTGGGCTCCTGGGCCAAAGAGGGTTCGGCCTCCCGGTCACTTCCCACCGATACTGCCCGCTCTTCTGTATCAACATCCGGCCATGGGCGATGAACTCTAAGTCGTCATCTTCAGGGTAGTCCCTGAGCCGGTAAAGGGATTAGAGGTCCGGTACCCTAGCCCGAGTGCTCTTCTTGTTGCTCTTTTAGACCCTGACTGCGACCCTCTTCTTCTTGGCCTCGGCATCCGCGTCCGAGGAACTAGAAGAATCCCTCTTATTTCTCTTTTTCTCCTCCTTCTTCACAGCGGCCTCAAGTTGTCCCGAAGCGAAGGGTTTAGCAGGTGAGGACGGAGCCTCGTCCTCGTCCACAGCCCGTAGCTCAGTGGTCTTGGGCAAACCTGTGGAAGGAAGAGAGGGACTTAGTAAAGGTGACAGTTGAATAGAAAAGGAAACTTGATCGGGAGGGAGAACACTTACCATGGGAACGAGCCTCCCACTCGCCCTTTGAGGGTTTGTGCCATTCGCGCTCAAAGTACGATAACTGTTTGTAGATCCCCTCGACCCACTCTTTGAAGTAGGGAATTACGTTGGGGACTCGGACAGTAGAACTAGGCGATGAGAAAGAAGAACAAAATCCAAAAAGTATTCTAAATACTCAAAAGGAGAGGAACTTACGGGTTAGGTTCCACTTTTCAAGGAACGACAGGAACCCGGGGAGAATAAGATCCTCGGTCTTCACCCGAACGAATCTCCCGTGCCAGCCTCGATCCCTGTCTTCATCAATGCTCGAGAATAGAGCTTTCTTTGCCCGACGGACGAGCTCGATTAATCCCCCTTGAAAGATTCGGGGACTGTAGAGGTGAAGTAGGTGGTCGATGGTAAACCGAGGCTCCTCCGTGTTATTGATGAAGTGACGGAGGAGGATCACGATCGACGGGTGAATCTGCCCGAGGCAGACCTCGTACCTATTGCAGAAGTTGAGGACTATTGTATCTACCGGGCCAAGAGCGAAGGGGTATGTATAAATATTTAAATACCCCTCCACATGTGTGGTGCTGTCCTCATCGGGGCCAGGGACAACCACTTCCTTTCCCTCTCACTTGCAGTCCTCCCGAACCGTCAGGAGCGTGTCCTCGATGATGGAGCATATGTACCTCCACACCTCCTCACCTCGGTCCCCTTGCGTGGAGGCTTTTTCGACCTTAAAGTAATTCTCTATAGAGCATCCTCCGGGGATAAAATTCATTAGAGGAGGTTTCGGGGCCGCTTCAGGTACGACCACCTCGACATCCGTGGTCGGCTTAGAAGTTGAAGGGGAGGCTTGTTGGGGCACAGACTTTGAAGTTTTCTCCATCGAATTCTAGGAATATGAATGTATGAAGATGAAGGTATGAAGATTTGAAAATGAGAATGAAGGTTTGAAGGTCAAACTTAGAGATTCAAGGACAAAGTATGAAGTTTTGAAGATGGGAAGATAAAAGATATGAAGATGTGAAGAATTGTGTGTGAAGATTTGAAGGGATTATGAGCAAGTAAAAAGTCCGGGGGTAACTTAAGAAGGTTTGAGATCGGATAGTAAAAAAGTGAAAAAAGAACTGAAGCTTTTATAGGGGGAGAGGTAATTAATGCGTGATGTCTCGCATTCGAGGACGTTCAACCAGCAGCTCACACGTGTCCAATATCAGAACAACGCAATTGATGGGATGTTTCACTGACTCGTCCACTCGATTGCAGCGTACAGAGGAAGGAATCGGGGTCAATTAATCACTTCTCGTCGCTTCGATAAATCTGCTCTCCGAAAAGTGAGGCGACTATCGATGTACGGGTAAAATCGGGAATAATGTTATTCCCAATTTTCTACTAAAAAAACGAGAGGAAAACATGATCTGACACAACCCCGAGTGAAGCCGAAGGGTTCCTCGTTTCGAAGCCCGGGGAGGACGAATGGTGCATCCGAGATCGGACACGGCTGAACATCGGATCCGGACAGAGTAAAGTTTCGGGACTAAGGAAAAAAGAGAAACAGTTAAGCACGATGAGCAGGGAGCCGTAATATCTGCCCCCAACTGGATATTACGATGCAAATCCCGTCCGATATCAACTGCAAATCGACATTTACCGAAAAGAGAAGATTTTTACCTTATTTAAAGGATTGAAACTCCTTTACTATATAAAGGGGGGAACTTTTTTATTTTAAACCATTGTTGGCACGCATATCAAAGCAATACAATTTATTTTTGTCTTCTAGTTGTTGTTCAAAGTGTTCTTCAGTTCCTCTTTTCTTTAGTTACTACCGAACCCGCATCAAGGGCTCGATCAGAGCCAGTTTTCGGTGTTCAACTTAAAGTCAGACTCAATTATTCTATCGCATTTGGTTTGATTGTTTTATCTCTCTTTAATTTAATTATTTGTTGTTCTTAGATCATTCGTTTTAAATTAAATCACTTGTCCTTTAAACCGCATATAAATTTAATTGTTACTCATTTTTAGGGTAAACAATGGAGATTGGAAGGATAGCCTTAATCAACTACGGAAAGGACTCCGGAACGCTCGTTGTTATGATCATCGACCAAAATAGGGCTCTTGCTGATGCTCCGGACATGGTGAGGAGCCATATTAACTTCAAGAGGCTTTCACTCACAGATATCAAAATTGACATCAAAAGAATCTCAAAGAAGAAGACCTTGGTAGAGGCTACGGAAGCTGCTGATGTGAAGACCAAGTGGGAGAACAGTTCATGGGGAAGGAAGTTGAAGAGAGGGCTTGACAGGTTTAAGCTTATGTTGGCAAAGATTAAGAGGGCCGGAGTTGTGAGACAGGAGCTTGCATAGCTTAAGCTTAAGAACTCTCTGATTGGTGCAATCGATATATAGGATTTTTGGATCTTGTATTTTCTTTAGCTTTGAGAGATGTTATAAAAGAAGTCTGTTCCGTTTAAAGGACTTTTCTCTTTTATTACCCTTCCTATTGATTATGTTTGGTGGAATCCAATCAATAATTTATTCTTTCTTTTTTCCCCCATCATAATCAATAACTTTGTTCCTATTTTAGACTCGATTTTCACCCGAAAATCACTGGATAAATATCTAACTTGCAGAGTCCCAACGCAAAAGGAAAAAGAGAAGACCTAGGGCAAGCTTCAGTGAAGAATGACGCAGATGAAGAAAAGTATTACGTAATACACTGTAAAGAAAACCATTCATTCATAACATTTCCTCAACAATTAGTGCATCATTCTGCCGACTACGTTTATTGTTTAATGATGCCATCTCCAAGGTAGAACCCATGGGCAATACTCAATAGGCACACGCTTTACCAATTTGTGCCTGCACTAATGTGCCGCCTAGAGGAGGCGAAATGCCCTGCCTACATTGCATCCAACTTACACGTGCTTCAAGCAAACCTTCAACAACAATGCAGCGAAAAGATATTTTAAACAAAATGACAGATCCAGTAATAGGTAAGGGATTCCTCCATACAACACACAAAAAGTTATGCATGACGCTCTTCGGTTCTTCCCAACTAGAGGTTTCTGCTACAAAGCACACTTAAAAGATATTTGTGTATCCGAAGAACCTTCTGAATCTGCTAAACCAGATTTCCACAGCAGCATTAAAACTAGAACAGTTTATGGCACGACTCATCTAATTTAAAGATTAGCTGCTCCCAACAGCTGAAGCCCATTGGCAGTGAATGAACAAGTAACGTATCATTACCAAGGAATCTTCCTTTCCAGATATTCTCCTCCTACTCAAGGGGAGTTACCCACAAGAAAGTTTGGACATCTTGGAGACCACTAAGCAAGGATAAGTTTCAAAATTTCAAGGTTGAGGGGAATGAGGACATATTTCATAGGGCCATGTAAAGAAATCTCACATAGAAGCATCCATTTCCAGAAGCATTCTGCGCTATAGATTCAATGATCACTGATGAACTGCAAGTAGAAATAAATGATCCGCAACTCCCACTCTTGCTGTCCTTCTAGAACTAGGAACATACTACTCAGCCAACAGAAGTTAAAACTCAAAAACATTACGTTCACCAATGATTAAACTGAATATACCAGCAACAATGTTTTGATAAGAGCAACTTTTCTCTAATCAACTTCATACTCCAACTTAGAGGAAACAAACTTGTAGAAATAGACCCTTTCAGTTTGCACTTTCCATCTCCTCAATGAATCCTTACCAACTCCAGTCCATACTAGCTCCAGCCATATCTCCACTCCAATGGCAAAACATTTTCTCCAAATAAATTGCTCCTAAGTTTGATTTTTAAGATAGTTCAAAATATAAAAACCAGCATCAGTTCGCAAACTTCAACCGTGAAAGGACTAACTTCAACTTTTAAATGTGATCTACAGCCAATTCCTCTATCTTGTTCCATTCTGATCTTTCCCGATACGCAAGTCCCCAGAAACATATTTAAAGCTTTAAGCAGTTACATANAATAGAGTAAAATGATATTTGTGCAATAGCAAATTCATATCAGCATTAAGATAAACAGATTATTACATTTAATACAAGGGGGGAGAGAGGGTGAAACACTAAAAAACAATCACCAGAGCATTCAAATTTCAAAATTAAGAAAAGAAAAAGAAAATAAGCAAGAATAAAGCTAAAAAGTATGCCAATGGCTGATTTTACCACAAAAGCATCAATCAGAGGCAACTAGCATTATCATCATTAGCAGCAGCAGTAGCAGCCGCCTCACCCGAGCTCGAAGAACCACTGCTGCTAATGCATACTCCTCGCTTCTTTCTCTCCTCTTCGTATTCAGGATCATCTGTAGGCAATTCAAACCTACACACTGGACAAGAATTCCTCGAACCCAGCCACTGAACTATACAATCACCATGATAACCATGCCCACATGGCAATTTCTTCGCCATTTCGCCCAAGTTAACTACATCTTTGCAAATGGCACATGCCATTACTTCCTGTTCTCCCTTGATCACCAATGTATCAAGACCCTCAATTGCAGTCTTGGAAGCTGGTGGAGCTCCTCGCCTTCCGCTACCATCACTCTCAGCTAGGGTTTGCAGCAGAGCTTCGTAACCCGCCGCATCCACGTAGTCCCCAGGGTTTCCGATGTAGCCGTCGACGTCCGGAACTTGTAATCGGAGCTCAATCGAGTGGTCTTCAAGTCCCATCAGAATCTCTGCCCAATCAAGAATCCGGTTGCGCCGATTGGCGGCTCTGGCGGCAAAGTCACGGAGTCGGAGACGGAGCACTTCCCGCCGCCTTCGCCGGACATCCTCTTCGTCGCCGCCGCCGCGATTCTCGTTTCCTTCATCCTCATCAACATCATCGTCTTCTCCTCCATCATCTTCTTCATCATCATCCTCGTCCTCAGATTGGCTTCTATTCCCGCGATTCTCTCCGTCAACAACATTTCTAACCTCGATGTCGTGCTCGTTCTCCTCCTCGTCATCGTCATCGTCGTCGTCGTTTCCCCAACCGTCCAGCTCAACACGGAGGTAATCGTCATCGGAATGATGATCAGCGTGCTCAGATGGCGGGGGAGGGGGCGCGTCGTTGTCACGCGCTGCCTCAGCGATGAGCCGGAGGACCTGGATGAACTGGTTGCCGAAAGAAGGATCATCAATCTGATCGGAACCCGTAACCGGAGTGACGGAAACAGCAGCGCGTGAGGGTATGGACTCGACGAAACCGTTCTTGCAGTCGGTGCAAATGAGATCAGGAAGATCGGGTAGGGTTTCAACGGCAACCCGTTTGTCACACTGGTAGCACCAGTNTAGGATCATCGATCTGATCGGAACCCGTAACCGGAGTGACGGAAACAGCAGCGTGTGAGGGTATGGACTCGACGAAGCCGTTCTTGCAGTCGGTGCAAATGAGATCGGGAAGATCGGGTAGGGTTTCAACGGCAACCCGTTTGTCACACTGGTAGCACCAGTAATCAGGGTCCGACCCGGCTGGAGCTGCAGGGACTGAGATGGGTGTCTCGGCCATTGTTGGAGACCAAAAGTGGGGGAGAAAAAGCAGAAAGAGGAAAAAGAAAAAGATTGAGGGAATTTATGTGGTTTAATTGGTAAGATTCTTATGATAATCATAGCCGTTGGATATGATCACTATTGGTTGATCAATGGTTAGTAACTTAATAACTTAGTGGAAGGGAATAGATAATGATAGATATAGTAATATTCTATTTTAGGAAGTACAAAATTAATAGTAAATGATGATTTTTAACCCATTGCAAATCACTTCTTTTAGGTAAAAAAGAAACACATGCGCACAGGTGAGGAGGTGCGAGAGATTGGTAGTGGGAGACCAATGGAGATGCAGAGTCAAGCCGAAGAAATATTGGGAAGAGGTGATTAGGCAAGATATAGTGTTGCTCTAACTTACTGAGGATATGGCCATGGATAGAAATGTGTGAAGGTTGAGAATAAAGGCAAAGGATTAGGTGATCGAGTGTTGTTCTTGTTTGTAGCAGTAGTTTTAGTACATCACTTAGTGTCTTTCATGTATTCTGGTAGCTTTAATTAGAGGGTATTTGCCCATAGCCAGTCTATAAATAAATATAAAGCAATGCATTTGAGACAATTTTATAAACAAAAAGAATATAAACAGCTACTTCCTCCGTTTCAATTTATGTGAACCCATTTGACTGGGTACGGAGTTTATAAAAAGAGAGAAGACTTTTGAACTTGTGGTGTAAAATGAGGCACATTTATTTTGTGTGGTTATAAATCATTGCATAAAGGTAAATTGTTTTCAAATATGAAAAAGAGTCATTCTTTTTTACACGGATTAAAAATGAAATAGGTTCACATAAAATGAAACGGAGGGAGTATTAGTTTTGATGTGTAATTTTTTCTATATGTTGTAATTAACGTCAACGCGAGATAAGAGATGTAGCCAAAGAATTTGGGAGAATGAAAGATTTGTCATAAAATAAAGACAGTAAAGTAAAGACAAGTATAGAGAGAAACTGATATATTATTCAAATTTCAAACTTATGTACATAATGAACTGAAAACTCCTCTATTTATAGAAGAAAGGAAGCAGCTGCGAGGCTTTTCGGGAAGCAGCTGCAAGGCTTTTCTTTAGTTGCTTGTAAGATGTCTGCATGAGCTGCTTGTAACCTGCCTGTTTAATAAGAAGCTGCTGCAAATCATTTCATTGAGCTGCTTGCAACCTTCCTGCATCAGCTGCTTGTAGATAAACTTCAATAGAGTACTAAACGGATAATCTTCTTCAGGAAGATTATCTATAGCGGAGTAATAAATGGACATCTATAATATAATTATTTTCATAACACTCCCCCTTGGATGTTCATTAAAATGTATTGTGCCTCGTTAAAACCTTACTAGGAAAAATCCAATGAAAAAAATCCTAGTGAAGGAAAAAGAGTACACATAGTTAGTAATACGCATTTCTAACTGCCTCATTAAAAACCTTATAAGGAAAACCCTGTGGGAAAAAACCTTAGTAAGGAAAACAAAAGAGTACATCGCGTATTTTACTCCCCCTGATGAAAACCTTGTTTCAAATATTTGAGTCTCCGCATTCCAATCTTGTATATCATCTTCTCAAAAGTTGAAGTTGGCAAAAATTTAGTGAATAAATCTGCCGGATTGTCACTTGAACGGATTTGTTGCACACCAATGTTACCATTTTTCTGAAGATCGTGTGTGTAGAATACTTTTGGTGAAATGTGCTTCGTTCTATCTTTTTATAAATTCTCCTTTCAATTGGGCTATGTATGCAGCATTGTCTTTGTATAAAATTGTGGATCTTTTATCACACTCCAAACTACATTTTTCTTGAATAAAATGAATCACTAATCTCAACCATACGCATTCCCTACTTGCTTCATGAATAGCTATTATCTCAGTATGATTAGAAGTAGCAACAATTGACTACTTTGTGGAGCGCCATGATATAACAGTACCTCCACATATAAATACGTACCCGGTTTGAGATCGAGCTTTATGAGGATTAGATAAATAACCTGCACCTGCATAACCAACAAGATGTGCACTACCTTTGTTAGCATAAAACAAACACATATCAAGAGTTCTCTTTAAATATCGCAATATATGCTTAATCCCGTTCCAATGTCTCCGTGTAGGAGAAGAACTATATCTTGCTAGTAAATTAACAGAAAATGTTATGTCAGGCCTTTAGTGCACCAATTGCACTGAGATAGGGTACTTCGAGACCAAGGAGTTCCTCATCCTCTTCTAGAGGTCGGAACAAATCTTTATTCACTTCAAGTGATCGAACAACCATTTGTGTACTCAATGGGTGCGCTTTGTCCATGTAAAAGCATTTTAAGACCCTTTCTGTATAGGCAGATTGATGGATAAAGATCTCGTCTGCTAAATGTTCAATTTGCAGACCAAGACAAAGTTTTGTCTTTCCAAGATCTTTCATCTCAAATTCTTTCTTAAGATATTCAATTGCCATTTGGAGCTCTTCTGAAGTTCCAACAAGATTTATGTCATCAACATAAACAACAAGTATAACAAATTCTGAAACCATTTTCTTTATAAAAATACATGGACAAATAACATCATTTATGTAACCCTCTTTCAGCAAATATTTACTGAGGCGATTATACCACATGCGCCCAGATTGCTTTAAATCGTACAAAGATTTTTGTAATCTGATTGAGTACATTTCCCGAGATTTTGAATATGCTTCAAGCATTTTAAATCCTTCAGGGATTTTCATATAAATTTTATTATCAAGTGACCCGTACAAATAAGATGTAACCACATCCATTATATGTATTTCAAGCCTTTCACGTAAGGCTAAACTGATGAGATATCGAAATGTTATGGCATCCATAACAGGTGAATATGTTTCTTCATAATCGACTCTAGGTCGTTGTGAGAATCCTTGTGCGACAAGGCGAGCCTTGTATCTTTCAACTTCATTTTGGTCATTCCTTTTTCGCACAAAAACCCATTTATGACCAACTGGTTTTATACCGGCAGGTATTTGGACTACTGGTCCAAAGACCTCTTTTTTAGCAAGTGCGTTCAATTCTGATTGAATTGCCCCTTGCCATTTTGGCCAATCAGATCTTTGTTGACATTCTTC